TAAGCGGGGGGGAGTTGCCTGGGGGGCACCAATCGCTGCTCGGGGACCGGCTGGACATCGGTCGGTGCGTGGTGAGCAATTGTATAGTGTATCACTTGCTTTGTATATTATTATTGTATTATATCATTATTCTTCATTGTTATTACTACTACTATTACTATTACTACTATTCTATTTCATTTTCATTCAATTATTAAACTGTTCTTATCTCAACCCACGAGCTTTCTGACTTTCACCCTTCCCATTCTCTCCCCCGTCCCACTGGGGTGGGGGGAGCAAGCGAGCGGCTGCGGGGTGCTTAGCTGCTGGCTGGGGTTAAACCACGATGCCACCATCCGCAGGGGCAGCCCCAGCCCCATCGCCCCAGGGCAGCATCGCCAGGAAAGGGGCCCTGCAAGTGGGGTGTTTCCCACTTCTGCCCTGTTTCTTTTATGGGAGAAAACACTGAGGTGAGTCCCGCCACCCCATCCGCATGCCCCGTGCCTGTCCAGTCCCATATTGCAAGGGGTGACCCCACAGAGCCCCATCTCCCCACCTGCCCCATCTCTACCCCTGCCCCAGCAACCAGAAGGCATTTCCTGACCCGGGGGGACTATTCCCAACCTGGGGGGAAGGCGAGTGCTTACCGGGGAGACAGGGGTCACGGGCACGAGTCCTGCGCCCATTGGGCGTGGGGCATCCAGGGTCGGCTCCTGCTTGGCTGCAAGAGGGCAGGGAGCAGAAGGGTGCTGCTGCGTGAGGGGTCAGGGCTCGGGTGACCTTTCCTGCCCCACAGGACAGCCAGCCCCCAGCACCGGCATTGCTGCAGCCCCTTCCCTGCCAATCTGCCCTGGGGAAGGGTGAAGTAGCCCCTGGAGAGAGGTGCTTTTGCTCCGCGCAGTGGGGATGTCCTTGGGGACACTGGTGGAGGCAGAGACCCCCAGCCCCTCCCCAGCCCAGCATGGGGCTGGACACAACTTCTGTGGGACCTGTCCCATCGCATGGGTCAGGTCAGACACTGGTGACTCCTCAGCCCGTCCAGGGAGGACTGTAGAGACCAGGCTGGGGACATGGGGACCTTGCAGACGTGCCCATGGCCAAGCCCTGGGGCCACCTGGGCCCCATCTCCTTCCTGAGGCTGCTGGAGCTGGAGGGGGCTCCCCCGGGCGCAGCTTCACTTCTGGGTTTGGTGCTGCTCCGCCGTGGGGACAGCCATGCGCCCTGCCCAGCATCCCCAGTGTCCCAACGCTGGGGGGAAAGAGGGGTCCCATAGCATCCCTCCCCACCCCCGGCTCGCCCCTGCGTGCCCCCGCAGCCCACCAGCCCCGTTACCTGCGGTCAGCAGCTGGCTCAGGCAGGGGTTGGGCACGGCCAGGTGGGACGGTGTGGGGGGGCCCGGCAGCCTCCTCGCCCTGGGGCCACCGGGGCT